AGACCAAAATATCGAAGAAATATAAATTTCGATTTTATTCTTTTTATAGAGAAAGTGTGCAAAATGCTAATATATTTTTATTTTTGACTTAATATTTATGTTTATATACTCTTTTGCTTTTAAACAAAACACTTTAACGGTTTATACAACGCTATATATATTACTTAAACTTATTTGAATTAGAAGTGGCCCGTGACCACGGCTGCTGCAAAGCATCCGAAACGTAAAAAAAATATTATCAAATAAGTTTAATATATATCGCGTTTTAAACCGTTAAAATGTTTTCATTTAAATGTGTACTACTCGTAATAGTATTATTTATACTTGCTGCTGTTAGTCTGTTTATTGGGAAAATATTATGCTTTGCTCACTTTGTCGAATTTCGACCATTAGTATAATCAATTAGTCGTATCTTCAATGAGCTTATAGGCCGTAATTTATCACTCACATGACACAAACACATTTATATACTTTTGACACTTGTAGTAATGTATCTTGCTTACCTGCGCACACGCTCCAATTGTCGACGCCCGGTATAATTAACACCACCATGTAATTTCACTGTCTAGACGCGTCACGCCGACCATCATTTGCAAAGCTAAAGTTAAACGCGATTTTCCATACGATAATTATAAAAATGAAAGCGATTCTGAGATAGAAACGGTATTGATTAATTGTCGTTGTGAAATAGTTTTGCAACTGCACTTTGTTTTTGTTAATTTCTTAAGAATTCACTATTTGCAGTAATTACATAAATCACAATTCGATAGTTAATGAAACTAGGTAATTTAAAAAACTTAAAATTGCATTAGTACTAATATTTATCTTACTTAATTTTTATAGAAGCTTTCGAAAAATGGTTTATTATAATAATTTAAATACATAACATGTTGTGTATTTTAATAAGAAATATATTCATGTAAGTCATTAAAAGAACAAGTATACATATTGTAAGTTTTTATACCCATTCTTAGAATACTGTTAGGGTGAGTAATACAAATCAATCAATAATAATTTATTGTTTTATTAAGTATTACTAAAATTCTTAATAGTTTACTAGGCACTTCGATTCAATATTATATTTAGTATGTTATAATAAATATATAATATAGGATTTTTGACTTTTTTCTAAAGATTAAGGAATAAATACGGCCGTTAGAGGCAGAGTGGCCTAATAACAAAGCACTTTATTTTCAATAATGAGGAAGATGATGAATGTGCAATAACACAGGCGAAAATGAATTTGTACTATTATTTCTGTAAGAATTATGTTATCAATTTTCGGTCATTGTGCTCTTGTCGATTAACATTTTTATAAAGATATAAATAAGTCAAGTCATAGTTATTGCAGTAAGGCTACTCTGCCTTTAGCGAACACAATTGATATCAAATATTTAATATCTACTATATCACAAATTACTATATTTAATAACCTCGGTAACAATACCGCAGCATATTTCTTCTTTAAAATAATTGAAATCCTATATAGGATTACAGACATTGAGTTGCAGCTATTGTGGTTAACGTCCAGTGTTATCTAAGTAGTCGTTTTATTTCGTGGTCACAATTAGGTTGAATTACATGAACGATGTTAAAATATTGTTCCACTATTAGGACTGAGATTTTGATAAAAAATGTTTACTCTATTATGCTGACCATTTGTTGTGTTGTCGAACTTTGGCCAGAGCCAGAGATGCCTCTTTTTGCATTTTCTGTAGATTCGGCATTATACCGGCCACCTCAATATCATAAGTCGATTACACATACGACTAGACCGCAACTTCTTAAACGTTTATTAGTAAATGTTGAAGGTTTGCGTATTATAATGTAAATTATAGTTTGCGTAAATACTAGACGACAAAGATTCTTTGTTTTAAACCTTCCTATTAAACCCTAAATGGGTACTTCGCTTAAACAAAGGAATACTAAATACACGTTTTACACGTAACGTGACTTGTTAATAGCTATTTTGTAGGGATGGGTAAAAATTCGGTTCCCATTCCAACTAAAAAATATTTTTTATCTGTAATTTACGCGAGTACATATTTAAATAAAACACGTTAGCAGTTAACAAAAACGGCGATATATATTTAATGTTTTGCACCATCCGTGGCCAATATATATTGCGTTTTAAACCGTTTAAGTGTTTTATGTATAACGTTTAATAAAAATTATTTGTCAGAATCAGTTGTAAAATAAGAAGACTAGAGACTTTTAGATATTTTTTTTATGACGACCGAATACTGTCCGTAAATATCAAATTCTTACATTTTTAAATAGTAAAATTCAATAAAAAGTCAGTTAAATGTTTTTTTCCGTTTATAAAATCAGCCCCTTAATTATAAAAAAATATTGCACGCGTCCGTTCATTCTTAATAATCTTGCCTTCTTAACCGAATTTTCGACCGAACTACGGTTTCGGTAAACACTTCTGTGCACATCTCTGGTATTGTGTTTCCGACAGACATCAAAGTGACAATGCGACCACGTCGTATCATGTATGAATACATTAATCATAAACTGTATTCATTAATCACTGACATCTCATGATGGACGTAAGACTTCAAGATCACCTGCGTCAATAAAAGGTGATAATATTAAAACTATTACAAGTCTAGGAAATTAATGAACTATTAATATTCATCAATGAAACGGACACAGAAATATGTTTGCCAATCGCCTAATTCCACAGGAGTAAAAGGATTACTTTGAGATATTATTTGAAAGATGCTTGATTGCTCTTAAGTACATACATAAAAATAATTGTTAAGGATGCGTATGGTTTTAATACATCGTAGGTTTCTTAAATCTCCGTACGTTCTGACATATGTGCACAGAATTATATCTTACATATTTTGCGTTATAGATTGAACGGTAGTTTAGAGCAATTATATCCCAAAGATATATTTTCGTTAATTACATCAATTTGTTATAACTTGTTAGTTATCCTTTTGTTATATTATAGGAATACGGAACCGACTAAAGGAAAATCGTCATTACTTCTAGTATACTCATAATGATTTTAATCTATATCTAAGCTAAGATACCTTTACTAGTTTTATTAAAACACAATCACAGTCTAATTCCTGAGTTAGAATTGACAGTCGTCAATGTGAATATCTTGTTTCTTAAGTACAGAACTGTTTAGTTGAAAAGTTGACACGTTACATGTCGAAATATGTTCTACTTATGATATATTGATAGGTTAAGCAATTCTTCTATCTATGTATTGTCTGTAACTTACGCGAGTGATACACATTCAATAAGCTATTTTTAACCGTGTTAAACGCTAAATGTATTAAATTTCTTTTTACTACTCCCCTTGGTGTCTTATACTTTTAATCAACTTTGGTTATGTAAGGAAAAAGCTTATTTGTGTTTTGAAAACGCAAAAATGTCTCTTACTCTGTTTCTTATTTATTTATTTAAAAAAAGATCTTTTGAAGGATCTTAGACCTAATTACTAAGATTCTTTTTAAAATAAGAACATCAAAGCAAAGTATCCAACATATTTAAAAGCATATATTTAGCAATAAGACGTCGTATTATAAAAGGTACATGTAGGTCCGCGCGAAGCGAGCAATTAAATACATAATCCATTGATCAAACGGGCCCATGTGGCGGGTTAACGGCATTTTTACTCTCTTCACAACCCTTATAAGGCGTGAAAGCCATGCTGTCGCCAGACCTCGATGACCACACGTATGGCCACAGTACCAATATACCGTTTAAGTGTTCGTTACGAAGAAGCCAATTTGGCTTCTAGATAGCAAGTCATCAATTTAGATGTATTCATGTGCTTCCCTACATTTAAGGCACATTAGATTTTTATTTATAAGAGAGGAGACCATGTAAAATACCCTAGCCAAACATCGAAAAAAAGCGTTGTGGCTTTAGGGTTTAAGACATCGGCAAATCAACAGACTAGGGTCTGGGACACGGGATCGTTTCGTCAATCTCACCGGGTCCAACATGATGAACTTCGTCTGCAAATCTGGATATTAAATGAGTTGTAGGAATATTAAAATTTCGCCTTGGTCACCGTCGAGATATTAAAAAGAAATCGCGTCTCGGGTTCAGTATGTAGATTTCCAAATATATGCAAATATTCTCAATCACTCATTCGGAATACTCAAAGAAGGACACACATGCTAGACCTGATGGGAATTGAAGCGTTTATTTAATAGGCATAAATTGGTACCGCTGAACCATAGCGCCCGTTCAAATCACGATTGAGATTCATGTGTGGGTAGTTAAATGCGTGTAGCATTTGTAGCATGCGGCACTTATTACCTGACACACTTTCAATGCATGAGATGCTACAAAAACAGATGGTCGCACAATTGTATAGGTCCGGATATTAACGAATGACTCATCAGATCTTAAATGAGGAAGACTAATTCTGTTCTAAGATTACACTGCACTTAGCGGTTTATCTAGATGTATTAAACGTTTTTGTATTTAAATTAAACACTTTTAACGGTGTAAAACGCGAAACGTATAGTTAAATTGATGTGAACTAAGGCCCGACGTTTCGGATAATTTGCAGCTCCCCTGTGACCGTATGTACCTGTAGATGGAATAAATTGTAAAAAAGTTTAACTAATACATTTCGAGTTTTAAACCGTTAAGTGTTTAAATGTGTACTACGCTTATAAACTTATCAACCGTTGCTTACACAGGTATTTTGTGTTTATACTCTCGATCTGTAATATCCAAAATGGTCATCTTGTTGCTGTCCTTTGGTAACGATTTTGCCTGATCTTTGACCGACTAATGTCCTGCCCATTGCGATGGATAATTCGGTTTTCCTGGTCTCGTAATAAACTTCTCATTAATGCTAATTTCCAACGCTCCATTAAACTTTATCATTTCCAGTAAACACTGAGGCGGACGTCTCGAAATATTGCAGCTACTAATACGAGATTTTATTGCATTATTTTAATGATCCAGATGTCGCATACTACTTCCATTACTAATAGACTAATTTTTATTTCCAGAAATCGCAAAAGTGCGCGCGAGTCTGTTTCAAATCAACGGGGTGAAGAAAGAGCCACTCATCCTTCCAGAACCTGAGGGCATGGTCACCACACTCACAGAAAAAGTTTATGTGCCAGTCAAAGAACACCCAGATGTAAGTTATTTTGTAATGGTTAAGTTTAATAACAAGGTTATATTTTCCTTCGTGAACAAACATTAGAAAAGTTCGTTCGATTTCTTTGTACATATTATGCAAATCTTATCATTCAATTGTTTTACACTGGTATCATTCAATGTGATGTCCTTATTTTATTTAAATGCTTTAACTTTAAAAATAGTTCACAAAACAGTATCTTAAACGCACATCGACATTGGGGAAGAAAGTTACTTAAATACTACTCATGTCTTTACTTATGTTCAACCAGCCAAAGCTGCTTCAAATACTGAACTACTTTTAACTTAAGATACATTTATCAAAGTATATGAAGAAATCAAAATAATGAATTCATGTGAATGAATGGTCGATCCTTGAAAGAACTCTAACAGCTTATATAACGACAAGTTTTATAGCCCGAAGACCAAATAAAACTCTTGTCAGCTTCATCACATCACCCAGCCCCATTAAAGCTATCTCGGACGCATTTTCCAAGCTTTATTTAAAAGGATTTTGTCTCATTACAACGTAAATCTAGATAACTGTCACAGGTTGTAAGTTTTATTGCATCAGGGGACAGAATGAACTGGTCATATAAATAGAAAAGCAAGGTTGGCAGCTTGCTACATTTGGTGACTTATGTCATGGCGATCTTGTGTTTGGATTTACTTATGCTCTAATATGTAACGTACGAATGGTATTTAAAAAAAAAAAACTTACTGGCACTTTGATATTTTAATTATGCAAATGTAATGTTTGGATTTAAGTTAGGCTCATTTTCGCTTTATTTTTATCACAAATATCGATAGGAGAAAAATGCATGGTCTGACAATCCTTAAGGACGAAAGCTAAATTTCGGATCTCTTGAAAACATTAAAATTAAACCTAACTAAAAAATGGTTTACTAAGTTAATTTATCTTCGTTTTGTAGTCATAAATTTACCGATTGGTATGGAGAACGCATAATTGAACCAACGAACCTCGTCGAAGCTCGTCAAAGCATCGAACTATAACAACGTAACATTATCTTTTACATTCATATTCATTATAGACGCAATCTGTTTGAAGACGATCTATACATGGATATGAAGTCACTGACCCTATGTTATTTTCGGGATACGGAATTTATGCCAGACAACACAAGTAGTAAAACAGAAGAAATCTTTGTATATTTGTAGTTAAAGTAAAACTTTTTATTGAAATACAGACGATATTTAAAAACTTTAATATTTTCACATGATGGCATTATATAAATTAAAAATCTATTTGGATTAAAAAGGTTTCGACACGCGGAAGACTTGATCCTTGGACCTGCATTCAAAGCGCCGCATGCTGTTGGTCTAACCAATTGAGCTACCGTGTTCTGCACGTCATCGGCGAATTTCTTCAGCCCTATGTACCTCTCATGCAATGTAATTTTACCCTTAACACTTTCGTATTGGGATCTACGGACAGTACTTATAAAAGAAGTTAGAAAATATTTTATTAATTCTAACAGAGATCAAGTAATTGCGCGTAAGGACGTCTTGCAGAGAGATAATGATGTATGTAGGTTTAATGTCTGCGACTTTCAATACGCAACTACAGGCTTCTAGTTAGTGAACGATTGTTGGCGCCATCCGCGGCCAGTTAGCCTTATAAGGCTCTATACGATTTAAAAGATTTTTTTATAGAACTATTTCTTTGTGTGAAACAACTTGTTTATGTTTTATTCATCAACGCGGACCGTAGTTTCGAATCTTGGCTTTCTGAGCGGTCTTTTTCTTGCGAACATATTCATCATACGAAATAAATATATGTCTACAGCGAAATCACGTTTTTCCCCGATGGACATGGGTGGAACACATTTCTGTGTCCGTTTCACCATTCGGTTACTTAACTGAAAATGGTGAAACGGTACTTACAGTCAAGACTTTTGTGCCCTGCCCGACGAAAACGATTTATACTTTCCTCGGGATTCAAATCCAAGACCTCTCTTGATGCAATGCTAGGCAACATCTTTAACCTTTTAGCTTCAATGATGGCCAATAAAGACTGGTTAAATTGGAGATTAGTTTATAATACTTTTAAACTTGTATAATCTTTCATGTCCCTAATTATAACTGCAATTATGAAATACTTTATAAAACCATTATTAATTGTTCGTACCGGGTGTGACGTCTTTTTAATGATTATTATTAGTCAATTTAACCACTAAATCTGCCATAAAACAAGGTAATTATTGTGAACAATAAGGTTATAAATCTAGTGATAAATTGAACGGTAAACGATATTGATTGTACATCAAAGGCACCGCTCCATGAGATCAACCGTAAACGTGATGGAAAAGCCCTAACGATGTTATTCTGCGAAATTAATGACATTTATGGATATATTTTAATCCTATGAAGTACAATGTAACAAATAGCTTTAAAAGTGCAATACCTTTATTATCTACATAGTTATTTTTACAGCATTAAACAAGCTAAGCTTTGCTTAATTTATACTAAAGCTATAAAGCTGACGAGTTTGTTTTCTTGAACGCGTCAATCTTAGGAACTGCTAGTTTGAATTCAAAAATAAAAACATTTTATATGAAAAAGATCTTAGACTACAAAACATCAGGCGGGATCAATAGGAGCGAAGAAACAGGGGGGAAATGTAAAAAGAACGGGAAACGTTTGCCAGTTTCACTAGTGAAAAATATTTCACCTCCATCAACATTCGGTTATTGACGATTTATTTTCCTTCTTTTATAGTTCGCAAAACCGAGCAGTAAAGTAAACGATAGCAAACATCACAACAAAACTACAAATAGAACGGACTGAACGCGAGTTGTCGAAACAAAGGCTTCAGTGTTTGCTTTGCGTCTGAAACATATATAAAATAGCAGAGTTTATTGTACCGTATCTGTTTTACCACATGAGAGCTCATCGCTGTTTTTACGATTAGTAATTCCTTTAAATGAGACCTATTAGACCTGATAAAGCCTGGAAGGTGTCTATGTCAACTGTCTGTAGTTTTCGAGAGTATACATTTAAATAAAACACTCATTTTACGGATTAAAACTCGTAATAATTAACTTATTTACAATTTAACTTGGGCTGACCTTTCACACTCTTTGCAGCAGTCGTGTTCACGTAGTTAAAATAAATTGTCAATAACTTTACCTATATATTTCGCGTTTTAAACTGTTGAAAGTATTTTTAATTGCAAATGTTGCTATGTCGATGCTTACATAACTTAGATTAGATTTTATACATACTATTTATACATTTTCATTGTGTTCTACAATTTATTTTAGGGTGGTGGAGTTTTATTTCATAAAGGTTTATGAAATAAAATCATTTCCACTATATTTAGCTTGGATTCTAAATTATTCGGATAAAATTATCATTGATTCTTACTCTCTTCACCTCTATAATGGAATGTGATAGATTTTACATGTATGAACGCTTCTTTGTGAATACTTGAAGCGCGCGTTACTTATATAGGCCACTCTAATTTTGTCTTAATGACTGTTTGTGCTCGTATTTTAGTTCGTGTGATGTTCCACCAGTTTTATCTAGTTTTATGATTTGCATTGGTCTTAACGCTTCATACATTCTATCATTAAAATGTGGTAGTTAGTTTTTATGTTCGTAGTTCGTCGTTCAGAGTTGGTTCATTGAAAACTTCGCTTGAAAACTGGCATGTCGTAGATTTAATTTTTCGACATGTGTCTTATGCCTTTACGCAATTGGCCAGAAAGCATATACCTATGTTCAAAAAAATTTTTTTTTTTTTTTTTTTTTCCCCCCAATTAGTATATGTTGTTGAAAGTATAATAACTATAATTTATCTCTTTTCATTGGAAAACAAAAGCCAAGTTTATTTATAATAACGAATTTAAAAAACTATATATCACACACAGGAAGTAATATATTCTTGTGTGTTCCATAAAGCAATTTAAATATAGCTGAAACTCACCTAATTAAACACAGATTCTAAAGATACGACGACACATCTGACACAAAGAAACATCTTCATCTCAAAAAACATATAGAACTTAAGAGATAATTTACTCGAACAATTTTGGAATTTAAAACTGCACCAGGGCACAAGCGCAAAAAAACTATTTTATATTATATTATATTATATTTATATAAAACTTAAGATTTTGTTTGATTGAACGCGCTAATCTCAGGAATAAAAAAATCTTATAGTGTTTGTTAGAACATTTATCGATGAAGGCTATATGCTATAAAACATTATATTTGCATTTACGCCGGACGCGAATGACCTAATAGGTAAGAGCTATAATTTATAAAGCTGAGGGGGTTGCTTGCAAAAAATTTGGATCCTTAAAGTAATATTTTACGCGGACGAAGTCGCTGGCACAGCTAGTCTCATATATATTTAAAACATACCAATTTAGAAGAGGTCCAAATATTTTGTACCTCGTACATTAGAAAGGTTTATCTTGACGTCGATGAACTTATGTACAGAATCTCAGCTACCGTACAGTAACATGATTAAATCCTTCCATATAGGTCCAACCCGTTAATGCCACTTTTTGCGATATCCGATACCGGCCGGACCACATCTGTTAGTTTCCATGTATAGATGAATAGGATACAACAACTGACAGAGAAAAATATATAGCAAAAATGTAATACAAAATTTAACTCGAAACTAACACAAAACATTTAAGACCTATAAAACATCTATAGTAACTTTCATGGTCCCCTTAAAGTTCTCTTGTCAATTTTAGTTTGTTTATCTTATATCAGTTCGCTCAATGGAGCCTTCAGAAGTTCTTTACCAGGTTCGCCATTTTTAACTTAAAAAATCAGACTAGAAGAGAAAAATGATTCATTTATTTCCCATATACCCGATTGTACACAAATAACTTCCACCAAAGGAGACATAAACCAGTTTCTTAACCAACTATCGCAACCTGCCACACGTAATAAAACTTGAGGAAGGAATAAAATCCGTCCAGAGTTATCGAACGGTTGTTGATGCAAAACGGCCTATAA